GAACTGGCTGCTGCGTTTAAAGACAACAAGGTGAACATCTTTTTCTCCTTCTCTTTCCTTCTCACGTCTTTGCTTTTCTGTTATAGACTCTGGCTAAACTCAACCTTCATGAGAATGGGTTGAGTACGAGGATGAAGCGTCGTTTGTTTGAAGCTCTGGGGAAAAATATTGGCTTGAAAGTGTGGTTGTGACATGAGGCATATTAGTGACGGTTAAGCGTGAATGTCGCTCTTTAAAGTGTATCGCAGTTTCGTTTGGAAATATATTTTGTCATGAAGAGATTTTTTGATGTGAAAATTCAGTAATCTTTGAATTTTTAAGAGGGTTGATAAATTGTGTTGTGTTGAAAGTACAGGAGCTATGGTAGGTTTTTCGCATCTGTTAGAAATCCTCTCCAGATTTTGGCATTGGAATGGACTCTGAGGTGTTTGTTCGATATAGTTCAGCGGATGGTTTTTTTCGTTGTGTACCATCGATACATTTTTTCGCCGGCTTGAAATTTGTGGGACAAGTCATATAACATAATTCATTTGGAGAGATTAATTTTGTCCTCATTGGTAATAGAACAAAAATCGTATCAAGGTTGAATGAGATTGTTGGAAGAATAAGTGGTGCAGATGGTTTCACTATGTAATTTTTGCCATGATGATAGAAGTCGTTGGAGTTGACATTCGGAAAGAAGTTTAGCATACCTATGTTGAAGGGTGTGAGGGTGAGGAGGGTGTGAGGGATCGATATGAAACAGATTAACTTATATATCTAAGATACAAATTAATCCGCTGATTTCAACTTTTGCTTTTCAGCAATCGATCTATTGTCCAAAATTAATTAATAAAATTAATATGCTTATTAATAAGAAAAATAAATGCAGATATTTGCTTCGCCGACGCGTTTCGTGTATTTATTTAAAAATAAAATAACACTCATCAGGGCTCTGCATTTATAATAAAATATGAAAAATAACAAAAGCTAGAATAATATATAATATACTTTAAAAGAAAAAATGAAACGTAATAAATGAAAACGGAAATAAATGAAAGCAGAATAGGGGCTATTCTTGATAATGTATATAAACGTTGAAAGAAAAAGAGTAGGGGCTACTCATAATATTAGAGTGATATAACAATGACATGTGTAAAGAGGACTTTAAGAAAGTAGAAGATAGAATTAACCACAAGTATCGATAGTCAATATGTAATAATTATGTGAGAATATTCATGAATCACGTGTGTGCACAAGACGTTGCTGTAGATTGTCAGCGTTGCGAGTGCCCAACATCGGTGTAATATCATTGATTGGTGATTCAGAAAAGTATTTGTTCCAAAGTTGATGAAATTTTTGAGGAAATGATTTCATACTGGAACAATAAGTAAAGTGAACAAACATTGTTCGACCATGATTAATTGGTTCTTTAATTTTTATTGGACTATCGATAATTTGTAAACGAATTGTATCATAATTAGTTGAAGTTAATGGTTGAAGAATATTAAATTTTACGAGGACACGATTAAATTGTTGATCGATAAAGTTAATCGGATATTGATTAAGAAGTAATGCCATTCGTTGATGATCACGTTCTTGTAGATAAGCTTGAAATGTGGAACAATATCTAATGGCACGTAGTAACATAGTAAATGGTATATTTGCTTTCATATGTAATGGGTGAATGCTGTTGAAAGGTAGAAAGTAAGGTTGATATGATGGTTTGGTAAACACATTGGTAATTAATTGGCCATCTTTATTTTCAATATGAAGATCGAGGAAATTAATACAGTTGCTAATAGTATCAGATAATTGTATATTTTCATCATAAGTATTCCATCGATCGACTTGTTTTTGTAAATGTCGATTGGGCCAATTGATTATAATGATTATATCGTCAATATAACGAAAATATAAGCCATGACTATTATTGATTTGTCGAATAATAGATTGTTCGAAGAAGAACATATAACAATTAGCAATAGTCAGTGTAAGTGGAGAGCCCATTGCTCCTCCACGAACTTGATGATAATATTCATCTTTATATTTAAAATAATTATTTTCCATTACAAATTTTGCTAATCGTATAATGGTTTCTGTATGTAATCCGCCGACTTGTTTTAATTGTAGATGATCTAACATTTTCTCTAATGCCAAAATGCCTTTAAGTTGTGGTATCATTGTATAGAGATCAACAGCATCAATAGTACATAAACTTGTTTCTTGACGTAAATTTATTGTTGACCATTTTTGTAGATGTTTGATGAATTAAATGAATGGTCCATTATAATGGAGTTTTTAAATTCATCCTTTTCAATTTTTACTATTTCAAGACGAGTTTTAGACATTTTCTTGATATATTGAATGTTTTCTTTAATATAATCGGTTAATAATTTTCAATGTTTTTGATTCTAGTACGATTCGAGACATTTTTATTACTATTAGTAGTAGTATTAATCGATGCCACCGCTGCTGCTACTACTGCTGCTGCAGTTGGTATTTGTGACCAATAGGTAGCTAAATGTATTTGTATATCATTGATTTTCGTACAAGCTTGATCAATTTTCTTTTATATAAAAGGTAAATTGACATGTTTATCACGTTTTTTTGTACGATCAACTACTTCTTTAGCTCAATGTTTATGTTCAGTAGCTAATTTTTAGTAACTTTTCCATACTTGTAATTCATAATCTGCTCGAATCCATCCACCATAGACTGGAGTAGCTTTCATAATAAAACTGTGATTGCCACTACTTTTTATAATCTCTTATATTTCTGAATTATTGCTATACCATTGAGATATTTTTTTCTTGAGGGTGTGGGTGTGGGTGTGGGTGTGTCCTTATAGTTACATATTCAGGGCCGAAGCACTAAACAAAT